ACAAATATTACACAATAAAAAATTGTAGATAAATTCTTCTTGGCCTTTAAAGCTTTGTCTACGTTTCCTTCATACTCCTAGACATATATTTAATCAATAGTCCTCTTTGCTATGTGCTGGTAAATGCCTGCATAACTTATAAGCCACAGGTATTCAGGATAGAGTGAATGAATAAGTAGTACCTGATTATGACAGAATATATCAAGTGTTTATGAAAGGAATTATGAAGGTTTTCATGTACCACAGTTTATTCAACTGTGAAAATATTAGTTGGGATTTACTGAGGTGGCACTCAGAACTCTATTGGCTGCTGACCAGAATAAATGATCCAAGCAGAGGAACTGACTGCAGTTTAGTTACATGTAGAGAACACAAAGCAATGAGATAAACACAACTCAAGGGGATGCAGCACGTGGACTGAGAAATTAATCCAGCATTTTCCAAATTATTTTTACCTATGTCCTGTTCTTAAGTATATTCTGCTCTTTTATCAACCAACTCAAATAATCTTGTTGTATGGTATAGAGTTTCACATTATATACAGTTATTATTAAGCCTTTTCAGGGATGCAGCTTAATTTGAGATGTGGTTGTAACTGGTAAGAAATCAAATCAAAGAAAAACCCAAGCAGGACAAAAGTTTAACTATATCATTTCATCTTTGCACTGAAAATAATATCTTGAGATCTTTTTAAAAAGATTTTCAAACTCAAAAACCAAAAACTTTTTGGCTTTTCTTCTCTTTTATGTGACATCTTCCTTAATCATGCTTACATGACTTTTTCCATACTCTGAGCATAATTCTGATCAGTTTCATTGGGCCCTGTGTACTTTTGCATCTCAGTCTTTCTGCGCTCATCAGTACCTCAGACTTTCCACTGATCTGCAAGACCAAGTCATCCCATTGCTTTTCTACACTGTCTTCAAAGAACAATTTCAGACAAAATATTAGTTTGTTTAGATACCTTAACAGGCTGGATAGATTGTCGTGTTCTAGGATACTGCTTTGTATATTGGCTTTTCACCTTATTTGGATCTGGCTGAACAATTTTGTCACTACAAATTCAGTATTCTTCCACAATTCAGTAAAGAACTGAATATTTAAAATACCTTAGCAAAATTATATTCTAAGTCTAAAAGAAAGATGGCATAGCCTAAATCCATATTATAAACTATAAATCTCACTTCCACTCCCTTAGTAGTTCATCCACTAACTGTTCAAATCCAAATACCCATTAATAAAAGCTATGACTTACTACATCATTCTGAGATAATCTTTCAGCTATCTTAATCTCATATGTCAATGCTATACAAAGTTATGTTTCTAGCTTAGAGAAAAGCCATATATCCTTGTCCTAACTACAAAAAAAGTTTTGGGTGTAACTATGTCAAATTCTTCTTCCACATGTGATTGATCAAATAAAAGTATAGCGTTTATTTTTGCTTAGCAAAACACCTTATGCATTAAATTATTGGTTACTAAACATTCAGCTTGAAAAAGAAACTAGCCCTTTGCATTTAACTAAGGTTAGTTGGTGAAAATTGTAGATTTGAAGGATACAGTGCTATATTTATTCTAAGCTGAATGCACTAAGCCACAAAAGAAAATGGTTTTCTAGTCTCCAGCTTCCAGAAGATCAAATAGAAGGCCTAAATTTCTTGAACAGTGCATCAACACCTACAACATATATGTATGCCACCTTCAAAGGAGTCAGTAGAGCTAGACGAACAGGCATGTCCATTGAGTAGGTTAGTACTCTTCAGGCTTAATTTATTTCAAAAGTAACTCTTCTTGTTAAAAATATTGTTCATGGTTGTATAAGCAGGAAATGAGAAGCATGCACCATGTACTCCTACTTGATCTCCTACTGTCAAAATCTTGAGCTTATAGCAAGAAGTGGGAATCATTCTATTACTTTTGTTGATTTGAATCAAGTTTTTGGGAAAAAAAAATATAAAATTATTTCTCAGTTTCCCACAGATTTTGGATTTTTGTGTGGTTGTAAGTTTATTTTTCATTATCTAATTAAATGTCCATGGGAAGCTATTTAAACAGGTTCAGAAGTAACAGAAATCAAACCATATAAAATATAGAAGAAACACTGGCATCTGCTAGCAGCTGCTTTCTTAGGTCAGAAAGTTCAGAAAAATAACAGCAGCATAGAAAACAGTTATAGGACAAATTATTCAATGTTTATTTGAATAAGAAGAATTGAATTCCCAAGAAACATTCTGAATGGAATTAAATGGAAGCGAAACATCATCTCTTATGGAGTTGGATGCTTGTTTTCTGTTGGACATCATGGAAAAACTTTTTCTATATCTACTGTATAATAAACTTTGAATATGAAAACTGGATAAACAATTTTTTATTTTAAATTGTTTATTTTAAATAAATACAAAAAAAAATGGCATTGTCAAAGTGATTGAAAGCACATTAAAGGCTTGAACTGAAAGTGTATCATTCAACAGTTATTTATTCTTTTTGATATATTTTTATTCTCCTACAGTTAAGCTGTACTACATCTAATGGATAACTACTTCAGTCTGACATGCTATTTTGGTATATATTTATATTCAGATTTACCTTGTTAATCATTCAGATTTATTTCCTGAAGTATATAATTCTGTCTGACAAACTCCTTTATCATCAGTTGAGTGTATTCCATACAGATCCCATCACAATGCTTGATGCTATTTGCATTTTCTTTGTACTAATCTTTTGAGATTTAGTATATTAGCAATAACATTCTAAACCTGGAGTGAGATCTTGCAAATTTTATATATATTATGAGAATAACAAGCCTTCACAGACTCCCATTTAAGAATAATTATAATGCAATGTATTGAAAGAGCAGTTATATAATTTGAGTGTTTTGAAATAACACTTTAATTAAGAACTAATAAGGTCTGATCTGAGTCAAGTAGATTTTAAAAAGCTGAATTTTTTTTTATGAGCTTCCTCATCTGAGAAAAAAAATATTCTTTAAAAAATGAACATCCATTAAGAAGTCTGTTTTGTAGAAACTGTACTGTAGATTGAAAATATATTGTGACATGAAATTTCCAACCATTTCTAGTTTAAACATTGTTTAAAATGCTGCCTGTGCCAATTAGACATGCATCAGTCCTTCAGCACAAAGGCTTTTTACCATGTGATGTTCTAATGCAAAAGGCATGGCATTCATGAAAAGAGTATTGGCTTTGCCAGAGTGAATATTTAGTTATTCTTTAAGTTGTCATTTGTGGGTTTATGAAAGAACAAATGTTAAAATAGAGAGAAAAGCATTCTCCTGCATGGAGAGGGGGAGACAGATGATTACAATACAAAACACAACATAATCATATATTTACTTCAGAAAAACAGCCACAGAGACGTATAACAAGAATATATACATCCATTTTGAGAGTTACAGCAGATGTTCACCTATTTGAAGTGAAGGCCAAAGCTTTCCCGACCCTCTTAAGGCCCTGCCCAAGAAGGAGGTGGGGGAGGAATGAAAGCAGACACTTTTCCTATATATGGGAAAACTCCTTAAAGCTACTTCACTTGAGGTTTTGGGGTTAGAAAATGACCTAAAAGAGATGAAAATGTTCACGAGAAGCAGGTAATTGCTCTATAACTTATTTCATCAATTTTACTACAAAAACTTTGAAAATTGCCTAGCTGAAGTAAAAGCCACTCCTGTTTTCTTTTCAAATATCACTGGCAAAGCTAAAAAAAGGTCGCGTTGGGGGGGGGGGTGGAGGGGAGGTGAAAATGTCTCTCTTTTTACTACCTAATGATGTACTCAGGACACTCCAACCAGATTCTTATTCAACCTGACAGAATTCAAATGTATATTCTTGTATGAGAGGTGTGGACTTCAGTGCCCACTGCCATGACCAGGAATTCATTTTTCATTAAGTCATATGGAAAAGGAAACACAGAAGAGCTTATGGTCTGCCAGAAAATTCTCTGCAAAGAAGAAAAGAGGGTGACTGCACTCAGGAAGTGTTTTCCCCTGTCTTCCTAGGTCAGTACTGCTGTCATTACAGTAATCTGCAAAAAGGAATTGGGCAATCTTTGCAAGGTCCCCATGCATGAAAGACCCAGCTCTTACCCCATCCCTAATAGATCCAGGCATCTCCCTTCATAAGCTCTTGCAGGGAGTTTAGTAGAAGTTCCTGAACAGTTCAAATCCTGTATACTGTGATCCAGCTAGGGATTCTAAATCAATACCTTTCACTACAGGACCGAGAGGAAAACATTTCACGTTTGCTCAGCAGTGGAAGGGCAAAAGGAGAGAGGAAAGGGGAAAAGAGATAAATATTTCCTACTGAATTATAATTAAGTAGAAATGATACATTTCTTTCCTTGTTTCAAGATTTGTTGATCTCTGTTCTGAATAGATACAGAATATGGATTAGCCCAAAGGAAAAGAACAATATAATGCTGGATTTATTCCCCCCTTTATCATACTCCATAGTTAAAGCAACAATTTCAAGCACACCTACAGCAGATTTGGGCTACATGACAGCTTCAGATGAAAAATTTCTGCCTAACTCTGGAGAAGATTAATCCTACCAGCTTTTAAGAAGTGTCTAATTTTTCCAAAGATTACTGTGTGACCTAATAAAAGAACATTAGTGTTTCATTTCTTTCCACATTCTCACTGAGTAGATTCTGTCCTTGCAAGAAGGAAATTCTACTGAAATTAGTAAGAGTATTTCAGAAATGAAATAAAATTTAGCATATATTAAGGGTGGCAAAACATATTGGTTCAGACAGATAAATACATATTGTATGTGCACAGAGAAAAACATTTATCAATGACTTGTTTAATTCAATTCAAGCAAGCTGCAAAAGTCTGTACTGCTGAACAGTTACCTTCAGGGAGCTTACCTTACATATCTTCCCTATCACTGATATGACTGCTGTATTTTGTAAGAGAATCTTCACTTTTAAATTTTGTTTGTGTGAGTGAAAATGAAAAATTAACCATTATTAATTTTTTTTAGGAGCAGACATCATGTAAACTCGTGAACAAGAAGGACCATAACAGGGTTTATCACTTCACAAACACAGAACAAAAAGTTGATCCTATGCCAGAGTTAATGGTCACAGCTCTCTGACACAAACAAAGTAAGTAGACTTTAATATGAGTAAAAACATACATGAAACTGTAAAGGAAACAAAAGCATAGCATATGACCAATCATGATTTAAGCATAAGTATAAACTGGAGGATTTTTTGCTGTTTCTCAGTAGCCAAACTACAATTCATGCACTTGCATTGTTCCTTAATTCTGACTAGGTAACACACCAATATAATTAATTACCCATGGCATGCAAAAGATATGCAGCAACTAAGAGATGCTTATTCTTCCCTGTCCCTACCATTCTCACACTGGTACTGAAGCAGATATCATGGAGCAGGTCACTCTGCTCTCTGTTCATACCAAAGGTTCACTGTGCAGACAAATATACAAAAGAGTCAACCATCTTAGTAAAAAATCTCCTCTAATTTGCAGATTAAAAACAAACAAACAAACAAACAAACAAACAAAAAAAAAAACAACCAACAAACAAACAAAAAAACCACTCCAAAAAAGTACATTCCTGCTAAAATTAAAAATTATGGAGAATTCAATAATCTTAGAGGCTTGAGTGATTAAGAATACACAATGAGGGCAACGGCTGTCAAACTACTCTTCCCTTGTATTACTATAGCAATATTCACTCAATATTGCTATATTCACTCAATATTGCTATATTAACTTGTGTTCTTTTACACGCTTTATGTCTAGGTTATAATTCTCAACTAAGTTAATGACAAATCTAGTTAATGACATGCTACTTTCATTTGAAATGAACGCCTATACCCCCAAGAAGTTAAAGGGAGTTTATATAATGAAAGGATTTCATCTTAGCTGTTAGTAAACAAAGGCTTCTTTATTGAGCTGCAATTATTTTCCATTCTGTTGGCTGATAAATTTTCTAAAGTTAATGAGATCCATACGGTCAATGTTCTTGATTTTAAAAAACACACTGCATCCAAACAAAAGTAGAGGTAAATTTAAAGAGTTTTATTTTGCCACTTAACCAGGGTAAATTATTTTGTACTAGTCAGACACAGGAAAAAACATACTAAAGTTATGACAATCAGCCAGCATGAAGGAAGTGAAATTAACACTGTTAGAAAGTAAAATTCTGTAATGCTATACTGCTCAGTTCTGTGGCTCTTAAACTGCTATCTGAACTATTTGCGTTAGCTAACTGAGCCATACAATAATCTACCATGACTTTCCTTAATTAGGGACGAATAATGATACTTGTTTATCTTGTTTGATTCATTAACCTGTGAGATTATGGTAATTGTGAAACAACAGAATTTCACCATTTAATGACTGACATCAAACAATACAAAGCAGTTAATGATTTATCCTGCTTGAATTCTTCTAATTCAAAAAGTATAAATAATACTGAATATCAGTGCTTCTATTTAGATATAGCCTAAAATATCACTTGTGCTCTCTAAAATCACTCTATTCTTTTAGACTAGATGATTTCTTCAGCATGAATAGTACAGATTCAGGATGCATACTAACCTAACTTTATAACAAATACTGACTGTTTACCAAACTCAGCTTACCAGGTCTTCATCTACACTGTAAAAGGAATGGAAAAAGCTAGAAACTCCAAGAAAACAGTTTGCTACAGGAAAACACACAAACAACAACAACAAAGAAACAAAAACAAGACATTTTGAACTCCACCCTTCACCTCATATATTTTTCTTTATTATCTCTCTGCTGTAAGAACTCCTTCAACCTTTTATTATAGCACAGTCTGACAAACACTACAGTTGCTGTGTGATGATGTTCATGAAATGTTTCATATTGATAAATATAATTTTTTTTTTTTTAGTTAGAAAAATGAGGACTAGTGTGGGATGATTTCTGCCAAGAGAGCCTGTCTTCCTGGAATATGCTTTCATGAGAAGAATAGTGGCCAGCTTAAACTGAGGCAATAGATGAAACCAGATAACATCTCAGAAGAGGTAGATTTAAAAACCTTTACTTCACTTTATTTATGAAACATTAATTCTGAGAATTAAGTGTCAGAGAAGTAAAATGTCAAAACAGAAGAGCTGGAAATAAGCAATGCTAAGTACAGTGGCCAAGTGTGTAATTTTTGGTATAGACTGTTGAACTACTACTTTTGCACATCTTCTCTCGAATGTCTGATCTGGGCAAAGCATAACAGCCAAGTGTGCAGTGCTGGGACAAAGCAGAAATAATGAAGTGTTACAGTCCAATGGGGAATGTAGGTTAAGAATTTAAACAGGCAAAAAAGCAAAATGGGAATGTCTGATGCAAAACAGCCTGTCTGCCAGAAAAGGAGTAGCCAGAAGTGAAAGGCACCTGCAGTAGTCACATCAGAATAGGCTAGCCAGGCCTCCAGTCAGGGTGCTGGCCAATAGTTTATGATTATTTTGAAATCTCAGTTCAGTTTAAATGTCAGTAAAACATAAAGCTAACAAAACCTGTTCACTGAACTGCACAATGAATCTTAAAAAAATAAATTTAAAAAAACCCTCAATCAATCTTGAAGGAAAAAAACAAAACAAAACAAAGCAAAAACAAAAAAAAAACAATGAACAACACTGTGGAACTGTGGATATTCCAAAGTAGAAGTTTATTGTCTGTAGTATGAAAATGAAAAAGAAATAAAATAAATCGACATATGTTCTATAAAATTGCAGAAGTGTTACTTGTACCCTGAAAAATGTACTGACCTGAAACTATTTCTGTGCCTATGACAATAATTATGCATACTTCTTATAGTATAGCTAAAAGAAAGAAAAACTGTTTACAATAACATCTATGAACATAGCCACACAAGGGGCATTAAAATATTTTTCTTTGAATCATTTAATTGGCTGCATTTTTTCCTTTCTTCCTGTTAGAAATATAATACTGAACTGGATGGAGTCCTGATGCAGAACTGAAAGAAAAGGAAGTAGGAAAGAAATTAAGACCCCAAAGGTAAATGGGTGCAATATAGACACACAAAATATAGGAGATATTTCAATCTATCATCTTGCTTTATAGTCAACTAAAGAAAATTCAGTTATTTTCTTAGCTTTTATTTCCTTTACTTGTGCTGTAAGATCTAACTTTTTCTGAGAAGTGCCAAAATGATGCATCTGAATTATTTAATGAGGTTTCAGTACAAGTCAAGTTGGGTTAGGACAAATCCTTCCCAGCCCAGGTAAGTTATGGGCATTGCTTTACCGCATATCAATCTTCCAATTGAACAGTCATACAGACATACGAAAGATCAATGGCAGCACTGACAGTAGCAGTTTCATAACAAACAAATATCCGTCTGTTGACAGCAGTCCAAGAGGTAGGTATTATTACAGAAATAATTCAGAAACATCATAGCGTGAGCCTATTCTGTTCAGTTCTCAGATCTTCCAAATAGCTGGGCACACATAAATTGTCTGCTTTTAACATTGTTTCCAGATGTATTCTTGGCCAGCATTCTTCTCTTTGGACTGATCTGCATGACCTGAACCTTGGGAACATTATACTCTGGGATAAAAATGTTATTCGCCGCTAATAAACAACAAAAGGTTGCAAGACGAAGATATTTGATGACTTAACATCTAAGCTGCTCTTCATCCCAGAATAAAGAGAAGCAGGAATTTTGACAGCTCCGCTCCCTGTCAAATTTGTATGCATCAACATGCTCCAAAATATTGAAGGAGTTTAATTAGATGGTTTCTGATTCTGTCTTACAGCATTCGACTGAATCACAGATTGCTATCGCATTATCATACTCTGTGTTCTTGGAGAAAAAGTAGACTGATAGAATTAGAGAAAAAAAACAAGAATTCTGGTATACAATTTGATGAAAGCTATATATCCAACCTCTACAGTTCTGTTGTTAGGTGATTCTGTAATTTTGCTCTTAACGATACCTAATCTTTGCGGTAGGGCTGAAAGGCCATATGGATATTATCAGACATGCTGTCATCCTAGTATGATGATAGTGTGTGTGACACATGCTGATCTGTGAGCAATACAACCAGTGCGCAACAGAGCTGCCCAGTATATACCTTTGGCCAATACCCAAAACTCTTCAGCATGACAGTGACAAAAGCTGGAAACAAGTTGCAAGAGCCAGAGCAAGAGAACATGGCCAGTTCCCAACAGCTGTCATTTCCAGGAGCCCCATGATTGTGTCCTGGCCAGACCGCCAACTTCCCACAGCCAGACCTGCAACATGACAGAAAGGGTCTGGTGGCTTCCCAGGAAAAAGCATTGCTATTAGTATTTCATGGGTTGCAACAATTATTCAAGTATTCTGCAGATCTACAGAGACTCCACAAACAGTATTTTAAGCAGTATTACTTTTGACTTTTCAAATTTTAGGCAGCTGGATTTCATCTTCCAATGAACCACTAAACTAAGAAATCAATGTTGTTATTTCATAGGAGGATATTTATTTGCACCAAATAGTCAACACAGTACAAAGGATTCTCTGCTGAACTTATGTCACATACCAGGTATACATCTTACATCTGATAAAAAGAATACTCTATCACTATACAAGAAACCATGTCAATAATGAGACCAGCACAATAACAACTGCTAACAAGTTTCATGCCACTCAGTCCAGTCAAAGAAGTGAAATCTAGACAGCACAACATTGCTCTATAAGCAGTGCCCAAGCCTAACCGGTGCAGAATTTATTAGAGAGCTTCTCTGTGTTGCCATTTTAGAATTTATTTTTTTTTACTGTCTTGATTTTTTTCAGCAACATATCACAACAAAATTAATCAAGCTATACTGACTATCTATGGATAAATTTAATTGTGAGAAAGGACTTCATCTCACAAATGAAAAGTAGGCTGTGTTTTCAGAGTGGGTGTTTACTGGAAAGAAATTAGTCTCAGTGTGCATCAGAATGAACAATCTGCGGTCAGCTCATAGAGACAGTTTCACTTTCTTCTCTTTTATAAGAATTGTTCTTATGGAGTGAGTTTCTTCTTTTGTCTTATGCTGGGGTCTGTTCCTCACCGAGAGCTATTCATTCGAGCACACATGAAGTCACACCAGAAGAACTTATTTTCTAAGAAGTGGAAACACTAGTGGAACATCTTCTCCTTTCCTCAAGCACATCCCAACTCTGTATCAGCTCTCCCAGGAACTTCTAGTCTGGTTGGCACACTGGTTAGCAAACAGATTCTCTATTATTGAAACAATTTCAACACATATTCCAGAGCGCGCGCTTGGCAGAGGCCTGTCCCTGTTACCTTGCAACTGAGATATTAAACTGTATATAAACAGACTTCACACTACCAGCCTTCCTAGAAGCACCCACATTCTCTGGGGAAGTCTACATGTGCGTGATCACAGTACACCATTGGCTTGTGGCCAGGCACAACTCTCATTTCCTTAAGGCTTTCCTCTAGGCAAAGAAGCGTGACCTTCCTGTCTTGTCCTGGTGAGACAAGAGTATGGCCAGATTTGACAGCTGGGAAACGTTGCTTTTTCTGTGATACAGATACAGCCTGTAGTACTGAGTGCCACCTTTGAAAGTTTTATGCTTCCCATGGAGAGGTAGCTGCATATGCACGAGTAGCTGCCAGATATTTAAAAACCTGTGCTGTTATTCTTTACTTCTACGTACACTGAAACACTCATAACGCTCTAGCAGTAAGAAATCAAAATATTTCAATCTCTTAGCTTCAAGACTTCAGTTTCTCACATCCCATACATATTTCTAAATATGTGTGTTACTTCAGCATCTAAAATGAACACTCTTCAATATTCACAAGCATCATATTAAGATCACTTGACATTTGACTTAAATTTAAGATGTAATACACAAGTTTTTTGACAATTAACTTCAAAAGGTATTACTGTAAATCCATATAACTTGGTTGTTTGAACAATTATCCTGAATAGCACCGATTTTCGCTTATTTCAACAAAAGCATTGTTCCTTCCACTGGAACGTCTTAATTAGTTCAAACACATTTCACACATCTACACACACCTCCTGTCCTCTATTGATGCTTTATTCTCTCTAAGGAAAAACATTATCATTTGAACCAAGTTATTTTCCAAGCAGTATTACCCTTCAGCTCACTAGTAAAGTACACAGAATTTGCTTTTTAAGCACTTGAAAAAAAAAATTATCATTTCAATGAAAGAAGGCATAATTAGTCAACTTTTTATTACAAATATGGACTGTGTTGTGTTGCCCAGACAGAATTTCAGGATAGCCTTTGTGCTTAACTCCGATTTCTGCACCACATTCTTTCCCTTCCTTTGAAGGTGAAGCTGAAGATCTCCTGCCAGTGGGAATCTCTGTTCCCATCAGGAAAGAGGTCATAGACTACAGCTGTGGATGCACATATTTCTCTTTCAGAAATACTTCTTAAGTATTCCTTTTTCTGTTTGCTTTTTTTTTTGTTGTTGTTGTTGGTTTGTTTAAACATGGGGAGCAATGTACTTAAGAAAGAAACAGTTGAATCACCATAAGTAGTTTTACTCACTAGCACCTACAGCCTTTGTCTCATTTTCTTGATGTCTGCTAGGAGCACCCTTCTGAACCACCAAACACTAAACCACAAATTCAAAGTGAGTTGCCTAAGTAAACAGAATTGATCAAGGGAATGAACTCCCTGACAGTGATATCAGTGGAGCTTGTGTATGGAAAACTGCATTTCAGGGCCCAAAGGGATTCATATTTATTTTAGATTCCTGCTGTAGATTTGGAAGTTTGTGCTGTGAGGTCTCTCACTTGTTTTTTTCTCTTCCTCTAAGAACCGGATAGTGGGTCAGGAAAAAAATTGAAAGTATGCACTAATTATGCAGCATGTTGAAAGACACCCTTTTAACTTTCTACTATAAACAAGACAACAAACAAAGCTGTTGACATTATTCACTACCAGAAAGGAAATTATGATGATTGTGATTAGGACACATAAACTTTTTTCTAGAGTTGTATTTTAAAACGCATAAAAGTTACAGCAGTGTATAATGAGAGAATAATTCTATCACAGTCCTTTTTTGAGAATGCGTACAAACAATCCTAAAAAGAAAATGAAAGCATTTGCATATGGTAAGACATTTACTATCAAGAATCTGATCACAATGTCCTTCTGCTAGTTTTAGGAAACTAGCAATCTTAAACTCAAGCTATAAATTACAATGACTGCTGGCATTTCATAAAAGTGAAGTGTTTGCCTGCAAGCATAACTATTTTGGTTTTGTCTATTGGATTATCACAAGAAATGAGCTCTGATTCCTCTAAACAAAAGCTATTTGAAAGAAAAATGTCCATTTTCAGATTGAAAACCTTTAGAGAAAATTAGAACACATACAGTATAATTTTTAGTCTTTTATTTGAATGTCTGAGTTTTTATGACCTCAGTAAGGCTGATATTTAAAGTAGAGTTTTACTGATAAAAATTCCTTTTAGTCAGTTTAGTGTGCAATACCAGAAAAATTAGCTAGAATCTCAAAATAAATGTTTCTACTATCTTCATTCAGCTCTTATCTAAAGAAAAGGGGAAAATCTTCATTGATTTTATTACATTCTGAATACTAGCCAGCAGATAAGACTCTAAAATAACTGATTCATAAGAAGTCAAAACAAAGTGCTACGGATGGTTCACATTCTCACAACCATACTCCTAAATATGGAGAAGTTTCTTGTTTCCTCTGTGTATTCTTATCTTACTATGACCTAAAAAAGTGGAATCCAGTAAAGATGAAAAGGATCCTTTTGTAATTTATACACTAACTTGACTTTCTGCCAGCTTCATGGACAAATACACTCTCTGGTAAAGTAAAATTTAAAAAAGGAGTTAAATTGTCTTAAATTTTTTGTTACTAAATTCTGTAGGAATCCTCCTGTGCTCTCACAAGTGGGACATGTATGAAGGGATTAAATAGCCTTCCTTCATTCTTGGAATTCTTAAATCTTCTAAACAAAAAAAAATTAAGTACAATTAAGTTCATATATACTTTGTCTTCCTAAAATGTGTAACTTACTTTTTCCCAGTGAGGTGCTCTACATTCTTAGATATACTAGAAATGTCTAACTTTGTGGGCAAACTATAGAAATAGATATTTTTAAGGAATAGATTTTGTTAATACTTTTTTAAATTTCTTTCAGTGATTTATTTAAAGCAGTTGAAAGATAAAGCAGTGGTTTTGCAGTAATGAAAATCCCAGTTCTTGTAGCACTTGTGTCTTGGCTCAATAGTTGCTGATTTGCTCCAAAATACATTACATAATAAAATGGAATTTCCAGACAGAAGCCAGTACTTTATAGCCTGATATATATCAGAGGGAACCTCTTCTACACTTTGGCTGCTAATTATATGCTATTGGTTCTTGACAGAAATGCCTTCTGGGTTACATTTATTTTTCGTTCCCCTGAAGCCATTTAGGGGAGACTCCATAGCATACTTCCAGCTGCCAATGCAAAATCTATCTTTCAGTTGAGCAAAGTGAGAATTTCTAATGAGCAATTACATTCAGACTACAGAACCCTGTTTTTTTGTTTTGTTTTGTTTGTTTGTTTTTACACTTTTCTCTAAAGTTGGCAATTTGAAGATTAAAAAATTTTTATGAGGAGGGCATGCACCAGAAATAGCAGAAGTAGCATGTTTAGCAGCCACATCAACTTTTGGAAAGCTAATGGTGGAGTTGGTGGGAATCATCATTTCTGAGGAACTCTGGAAATGAGTTGTAGTATTCAGACTTAAATATTGGATCCATGTGAAATTCAAGATTGTAAATTAACGATCTACAGAGAGTTGGTAGAACTTAAACTGCTTATTGAATGCATCAAGAAATTCATGGGAGAAAGCGGGGGGTAACCTAATTTTACTTAAAATGAAAAAAGCAATGGAGTTTTCAACAGTTGTACTGATTATAGAAATTAACACTGTTTTCAAAATCTGTCTCAGTGGACAATTTCATAAACATGGAAGTGACTGAGAAAACTGGAATTGTTTGTGTGTCAGCACAAACCATTACATGGTGATCTAACAGATCGTATGAAATATGTAAGTAAAAATAAGGTAGACTGAATATAGTCTAGTGAAATTGCAGATGTTCCAAACTGAGCAAGGCTGATTCATAAACCTGGGTAATCAGATTACCATAAGGATAGAAAAATGAAAATAATTCCACTACTAATGTTCTAGTTCAGTGCATAGTAACAGTTATCAAAAAATGCAATGTATCATATAAACCTAGAGTACTACTTAAAATAAAATTGAATACTCTTCACTACCAGCCTTTAAAGCTACTTTTCCATGATAACATGGTAATGACAAGTAGTTTGAAGAAAAAAAATTAAGCAGAAAAAAAAGCCTCAGACATCAATGTTAACAAAAAGGAAATTATTCTATATCTATCTATATATAATATATAAAATTATATATCTCATAAAAAGTGAAAATTTCCCAAAGAAATTTGATTTAAAACTGTATACAAATATGACTCAACTTTTCTCAAAAATGACACAATATATATATTTTTAAAGATCTTTTTAAAAGCCAAAATGCTTTTTTCAACTGTAAGAATAACTAAGAGCTTTATCTTTTCTTATCAAAGAAGAAAGAAAAACAGCAACAAAAAAACCCCACAATGGAAGTAAAAAAATGTCCAAGAAATACAGAAGCTTCTCAAGAAATAGATTTTGATTATTCACATACAAAAAGTTTCTTTCTTCTACAGTGACCTTTTCAAAAAGCATTTAAATAAAAACTTGATACCAATAAAAGCAAAGACAATTTTACTAAATTATTAACTGTATCATAAATGAAGACTTTTTCTTAGAAAGGTGTAAATAATAATTTGTTCACAAGTTTTCATGAAGTAGCTACGCCTACATAAATGTTAATATACCTAGTGAAAAGCTGAAGTGATATGCACCTGGCAGAAAAAAAAAGCCAACGTACCTACATCCGTAAAAGGAACAAAGCAGTATTGGGTGGAAGAAAAATGTGAATGCTAATGTTTTAAGCTACCATACATTGCCAGAATATCATATATATGTTTTTGCCTTTATATACCAAACTTTTATGAAATCTAATATTTCAACCTTTCTATTCTTTAGAAGCAGAATCGCGTTTTCATGGTTTTAGTACATATACTGAGATAAAGACCTTCTTTCCTATTAGATCAAAATTTAGAGGAAAATACAGAAAGTATAATAGCAATTTCTATCATTAGGGTAACTGTTTTTCCTTGTTTACATTTCCTTCACGAAATGAAGCTGTTCCCTCTCTTATCCTCTAAAGTTATCAAAAAATCTTGCTCACAAGAACTGTGACTTGGGAGATATGCTCTGCGATAATGACAAAGCAATGTTCCCTGGCTACAAACACGAAGTTATGGCGTGGTTTCATTATGCAGAGTGTGTTTCCCAAAATGAACATTTTTAAGGATAAGGGGAAGGGACAACAAGGTGGACATCCTTGTGGGAGTTTGTAATAGACTGCCTAACCAGGATGAAGAGACAGATGAGGCATTCTGAACGCAGGAGTTGCATGATTGCCAGCCTTTATTCTCATGGGGCACCTCCTCACTAGAGGGGACTGGCTGTTCACAAACAAGGAAGGACTAGTGGGAGACATGGAGGTTGGGGGCTGTCTTCAACAGAGTGACCATGAAATAGTAGAGTTCTCAATTCTTAGTGAAGTTGGGGAGGGGTGCAAAACTGCTGCCTTGGACTTCTGGTGTGTGGACTTCCAACTGTTCAGGACACTAGTAGGGAGAGTCCCTTGGAATTCAGTTCCTGACAGATAAAAGAGACCATGAAGGCTGGACACTCCTCAAGAAGGAAGTCTTAAAGGCACAGGAGCAGGCTATCCCCTGTGCTGCGAAATGAGCTGGCAGGGAAGCAGACCAGCGTGGATGAACAGGGAGGCTCACGAGAAAACAAGAATTTAGCTCCTGTGGAAGAAGGAACGAGCAACTTGGGGAGAGTTCAAAGAAGCTGTTAGCATGTGCAGGAAGAAAATTAGGAAGGCAAAAGTCTAGCTTGAACTCAGCTTGGCTGCTGGGGTAAAAGAGAACAAAAAACTTTTTTACAAACATATTAACAGTAAGAAAAAGACTAAGGAGAATTTCTGTCCTTTACCAGACGCAGCAGGGAACATGATCACTGAGGATAAGCAAGAGGCTGAGGTTCTCGATACCTTCTTTATACCTGTCTTTAAAAGTCAGACCAGTTATCCTCTACCCCCAGACCTGGAAGTGCCAGATAGGGAGCAGAATAAACCTCACATTATTCATGTGGAAACAGTTAAAGACCTACTACTCCATCTGGTCTGCCCCAAGTCCATGAGGCCAGATAGAAACCATCCAAGGGTGCTGCGTGCAGGTGACAGCCAAGCCACTTTCCACCATCTATCAGCATTCCTGGTCAACAGGAGAGGTCCCAGAAGATAAGAGGCTTGCCGATGTGACTCCCATCTACAAGAAGGATCATAAGAAGTAGCTAGGAAACTATGGGCCTCTCAGCCTGACCTTGGCACCAAGTAAGGTTATGGAGCAGATCACACTGAGGGAGATCATACAGCATTTGCAGGACAACCAGAGGATCAGGCCTAGCCAGCATGGGTTAATGAAAGTCAGGTCCTGCTTGACTAACCTGATCTCCTTCTATGATTGAGTGATCCACATGGTGGATGAGGGCAAAGGCTTCAGCAAAGTCTTCAACACTACCTCCCATACTGTCCTCCTGAAGAAGCTGTCAGCCTATGGCCTGGAAAGATACGCTCTTTGCTGGGTAAAGAACAGGCTGACTGGCTAGGTCTTGAGAGTAGTAGTGAATGGAGTCATATCCAGCTAGAAACTGGTCATGAGTAATTTCCACCAGAGTTGATATTGGGGCCTGTTCTGTTCAATACCTTTATTGATGACCTGGATGAGGGCTTTGAGTGCATCCTCAGTAAGTTTGCAGATGACACTAAGTTGGCAGGAGCATTGATCACCTTGAGCTAGGAAGGCCCTACAGAGTGATCTGGACAGGCTGGATAGCTGGGCAAATGCCCATGGGATGAAGTTAAATGAGATCAAATGTCAGGTCGTGCACTTTGGCCACAACAACTGCAGGCTTAGGGCAGAGTGGCTGAAAGACTGTATAGAGGAAAAAGACCTGGAAGCATTGGTCGATGCTTAGCTGAACATGAGCCAGTAAGCATGTCATCCTGGCTTGTATCAGAAATAGTGTTGCCAGCAGGAGCAAGGAAGTGATCACCCCCCTGTACTCAATCCAGGTGAGCCCAAATGTGAGTACTGTCTTCAGTTTTGGCCCCTTCACTACAGAAAGACATTGATGCCCTAGAGTGTGTCCAGAGAAGGGCAGCAAAGCTGAAGTCCTATGAGGAGCAGCTATGTGAACTAGGACTATTTAGTCCGGAGAACTGGAGGCTCAGAAGGTGACCTTATCACTCTCTACAACTACCTGAAAAGAGATTGTGGTGAGGTGGGTGTCAGTCTCTTCTCCCATGTAACTAGCAATAAGACTAAACAGAATGGCCTCAAGGTGCACCATGGGAGATTCAGGTTGGATGTTATGAAATACTTCTCCAAGAGCACAGTCAGGCACTGGAATGGACTGCCCAGAAAAGCAGTGGAGTCACCGACCCTGGAGGCATTCAGAAAATGTTGAGATGTTGTACCAAGGGACGTGGTTTAGTTGGAAATATTGTGATAGGTGGATGGTTGGACTGGATGATCTTGGGGATCTTTTCCAACCTCGGTGATTCTATGATTATTCTTACTGTAAATACGCATGTAATATGTTGGGTTATAAATTTTTAAGAAAATTCTAAAACATCTTATAGTTAACTGGATAATTTTCTGAAAACAG